GTCGGAGGAGTCTTCGGTTTTGGACGTCCTTCGTCGCGGCGCTGTGACGTATGCAGCTGACGAATTCGACCTTCGGAGGACCCGTCCTGTTGTTTTGGACTCAGCCATAGGTACTGGGGAACATAGGTACTGAAGTACATGGGTACTAAAGAACATAGGTACTGAGGAACATATGTACTGGGTAACATAGGTACTGAAGAACATAAGAATGGACATCAGTATGTTTTAGTGAATGTGTTGTTTCATGTGTTTGAAAAAGGATGACACAAACATGAACAGGTGTAGCTGGTTATAACCCAGCCTGTACAAAGACTTGTTCCTCTTTCTCCAGACTGTGTGCTCCATGACTGATGTCACGCTGACAAAATACTGACAACTTTTAGACAGAGTATTATCCCCTTAGGTTTACATGGCATAGCTCCGACTAAATGTGCTGCAAGCAAAGTATAACAGTTAAAGTCATTATAAACTTGAGCAATATCCTATTAAACATGTTTTAGTAATTAGAGGTTAAGCTGACATTTAGCCCTGCGGTGCCATTTATTACTTAAAACAAGATGGAGGAGATGAATAGATGAAAGAACACAATATGTGTCGGGACATAGAAAATTCAAATAAAGTTGTTTTTCCTGGTTCCTCCCATGCTGTTAAAACTGTCACTGGCTTTAATTACAGATCAGTCATCTTCAGCTGAACCTGCTGGGCCTCTTCCTCCACATCTGCCTCTCACTAATCTTTCATTAATTATTTATTGATTGGATTTCATTGTCTTTTAATTTCCTCTCCTCCTTCACATCACTGCTGGTTCTTGTCTTTTCTGTTTTCTGATGACTTGGATTTATCTGTTCTTTATAACCTTCTATGATAATGTTCAGTTTTTTTAAGAATCGAAGTGCATTTATGACACACTTAAAAAATAAACATCTGTCAAGTAAAAGTGTAAACCAATTTGTTTTTGAGGCGGCATGATGAAACATAGAGAGCCTGAGGGTAAATTACTCAAAGAGAATTTAGTTTTTTCTGATGTAGACTCTATGTGTTTACGTGTGTGTGTGTTTACATGTGTGTGTGTGTGTGTGTGTGTTTACATGTGTGTGTGTGTGCAGGTTCTTGGTGACCGCTGGGCAGCTATTTGCAGATGGACAGAAGAACGATGGATTCTTCTTCAGGAGGTTCTTTTGAAATGGCAGCACTTCACCAATGAACAGGTGTGAAGCTACAAGGGCTTAGCTGCATGTGATTCATTTAAACCTAGTGATGATCACGGCCAACCAAAAAGTTAGTTTTGCTAACTTATAATTTGTTGACTAAAATACAGATTCACCAACGTTAAAGTAGTGAAAGCTAACACTAACAGCTAACCACTAAGATGACTGTCTAAAGGGCTCGACACACGGGAGGCGACGTCGCTCGCTCTCCATTCATTTCCTATGG